CCCAGGGGGACAGCTTGAGGCTCTGTCTCAAAAAAAAAAAAAAAAAAAAAAAGATATTCTGATTCCACTGTACGCTGAGAATAGCTAGCTCTGGCTGTTTATATTATGGTAATCATATCTAAATCTCAAAAAAAAAAAAAAAAAAAGTAAAGTACTGGCCAGGTACAATGGCTCACACCTGTCATCCCAGCACTCTGGGAGGATCCCTTGAGCTCAGGAGTTTGAGAGCAGCCTGAGCAAGAGTGAGACCCCTGTCTCTACTAAAAATAGAAAAAAATAGCCAAGCATTACAGCAGGCACCTTGTAGTCCCAGCTATTCCGGAAGCTGAGGCAGTAGGATCTCGTGAACCCAATCTGTGAGCAAAGCTAACACCACGATACTCTAGCCTGGCAAACAGAGTGAGACTCTGTATCAATTAAAAAAAAAAAAAAAAAGTAAAGCATTAGTCATCATATTGCTCAATCACCTGTCCATCTTTTATTTCAAAAAAAAGTATATAAAAGTAAATGGCCACCAAGCAGGTTTATTATTTTAGGTATACAGACCCTACTTTAAAATTACATCATAGAAAACTCATTCATGCTGGTTACAGTGCCAGCCACGTACACCAAGGCTGGCAGTTTCGACCTCAGCCTGGGCCAGCTAAACAACAACAACTGCAACAAAAAAACAGCCAGGCATTGTGGCGGGCACCTGTAGTCCCAGCTACTTGGAAGGCGGAGGCAGGAGACTCGCTTGAGCCCAGGAGTTGGAGGTTGCTGTGAGCTGTAATGCCACGACACTCTACCCAGGGGACAGCTTGAGGCTCTATCTCAAAAAAAAAAAAAAAAAGATACGGCCTCTGCCTGTATCTCCACCTTTGCTTTACACTTTTCTCCACTTTATCTTCCCTCACTCTCTGTTTTTTTAAGGAACAAAAAATCATGTTCCACTTACTGATTCTGTAAGTAACATGCTCTACACTAAACTTTCAGTTTATGGAACACACCAAGACTTTCTCATCTTAGACCACTCACATCAACCGTTTTCTCTCTGGAAGAATGAAAGTCTTTCTCCCTTCACCGTTTCTGCTCTGCCTGTCTCTCCAGGCTGGTGCAGGGCTCCTTTCCTTGTACACCACCTAACGACAACAGGACTGCCGTGTCCTCTCCTGGGTGTCCTTCCTTCACAGCTGTTTCTTTTGCATCTAACACGTTGCCTTAAGTAATTAATTGTATGCTTAGGGTGAGGAATAAAAATTGTCTATCAGATACAACGTACGTAAGTCTGATGCTGGGTACAATAAAAGCCCTGACTCCAGCAATATGCAATGCATCTATGTGACAAAAAACTTATACCCCCAGATCTACTGAAATTTTTTAAAAATGTGTCCTTAGTTTATATTACACATGTTAAAACAAATATTAAAAGTATTCCCATGCTTTTAAATAAGAGTAATTTTTTTAAAAAACATCATTTTAAGGCACTTACTTATATAATTAACAAGCAAATCACACTCCAAATCTGAACCTTTCAAAGTTCTAAAATCAAGTAATTACGACTTCAGGATCAAGCAAAAATGATCTTGTAAACCTTAAGTAACAGCTGTACGGCAAGCTAATTGGTTTAAGGTAAGAATTAAAAGTCAACAATTTCTCCTTGCTCTTATAAATCAGTTCAATTTTCAGTAATGTACACCATCCTGTAGTCTAAACACTCCAATCTGGTTCACACAGGTTTTCAATTTTAACCAATTTTCTTGGGTAACTTCCTAAAATTCTGTTACTAGGTCAGTACCCATTAACAGCTAAAATGTTAAATCAAAGCAATTTGAGAAAAACTGAAATTGCAACAACTCAAAACTTGGGATTTCACAAAAATAAAAACTGACAATTTTTAAAAAATTAATAGCTAATATTTGAAGTAGTGTGAGCAACATAAAGCATTCTGCACGTCATTTTATTTTCAGACTAACCCTTTGAAATAGATGTGATTAGGACAGAAGAGAATCCACATTAGAACTAGGGAGTGTAAGAGTTTAACTACATACCTCCTTTACCTACCCTGGGCCCCAGATTACTTCCCACTATAAAATAAAGCAGCAAATGGAAAATCTAACCTACCTAAGACAACATGAAGGGGCTCTGAAGTCTACCCTCATTAATACTTAGCAATCTGAAATATCCAAAACACATCTATAGCTACACACACACTTGAGGTATGATTAAGAGTTAAGTTCAAGTTTGTTCACAACCTGATCAATGAAATAAAGGACAATTACATCAAAAAAAAAAAACTACACAAAGGACTAACCCAGTTAAAATGTGAAGATTCTCCTGACACACTCACAGTTTTTAAACAAATGTGTCACACAACATTTGATACAGTAGAAAATGACAGTAAAAACTAATTGTTAAATTACTTAATCACTTAAAGTCTTAGAAACATACTAAAAGAATATCTGGGTTTATAATGGAAATAAATACACTATAAACCTACTCTTTAAATACACATCATGGGGCTGGGCAAGGTGGCTCACGCCTATAATCCTATCACTCAGAGGGGTGGATTGCCTGAGCTCACAGTTGGAGACCAGGCTGAACAAGGCTGTTTCTAAAAATAGCCAGGCGTTGTGGAGGGTGCCTGTAGTTCCAGCTACTTGAGAGGCTGAGGCAAGAGAACTGCCTGAGCCTAAGAGTTTGAGGCTGCCATGAACTATGATGCAAGGGTGAGAAACTGAGACTTTGTCTCAAAAAAAAAAAAAAAATCCACTTCGTGTGAGTACTGTATAGGGGGCCACTAAAAAGTCATCTTTGACATTATGTGGGGAGGAGGGTAGAACAACTGGACCTGTTCTACCCTTACACATATACATTTTAATCAAAAAATAATTTAGACTTCCTTGGTTTCTATTTTCTTTTTCCTCATTGGTTTATAATGATATAGTTTACTCATTTTGCTAACATGATCAGTTTTATTTCTTTAAATTATATAAGAAATAGTAGACTATTAAATTATCTGTGTAGAATTTACAAAAATATCTTTTACATTACCTTTATATCACTAAAAATAAGTAGCATTAGGTTGCAGGCAAAGTCCTGGGTTTGAACTATAAACATTCTGCAACAAGTAACAATATATTATCTATATAAGAGAGAACTGCTTATTACAAATACAAAAGCATGAAAAAAACAATGGAAAGACAACACCAAAACAGATATGCTAGAGAAGTGAATTTTCTTTTTCTATATCCCAAGTTTATGTTTATTATGGTTTTTCAAGGGAAAAAAAGTTTTTAATGTAAACATGCAAAAATTAGATGATATAATTTTCAACTAAAAATATTCTAAGAACACAGACTATACACTTAAATTCCATTAAGATATTCTGATTCGGCTCGGCGCCTATAGCTCAACCGGCTAAGGCGCCAGCCACGTACACCTAAGGTGGCGGGTTCGAATCCCCAGCCC